ACCCTGTATACACGGGGAATTTTTTTGAAATCCTCTTCAGAGGATAACATATATATATATATATATATATATATATATATATATATATATATATATATATACACGCTATCCTATTTAGGCATTGTATGCTGTGACAGCCATATCCTAATGAAACCGCTTCAATTTTCTCAGATTGAGTAATTTTTGGAAACCCTTTATTGGGTATATAGACTCAGGTTCTCACGGCCTGCTACATACATATTATATGTGTTTGGAATCTACGTACTGTGACTACCTGGCTTCCCACCCCCATATGCACCTCTGAACAAGCATCAAGGACCTGATCTTATTTCAAGTCGACTGGAGTCGTCTTGATCTTTATTGATGGTAATATACCCATATTGTGTTCTTTGTTTTCAGGGTTTACTTGATGCCTGTGATCTATACATTTATTTTTATATATATACCCAGAATCATTTGGTACTGTGGACTTTGTTTCACTTGGGGTGGCTACCCAGGAAGTCCCTATATTTGAGAAGCGGGTATGACAGTCTTACAACTGAGAAGGTAATAGAAGTGTCCACTAATTACTGTAGAGGGAGGCTTGGTGAGGCTTGGATGCGATTTAGCTCCTATATTCTCATACATACACTGTGTATTTTTTTGTGTTCCAGCTTTTACATACCAGGAGGCTCCTGACGTATATTGGGAATATATCTGCTGTATATATGGCTCACTCTAATATAAGCTGGAAATTCATGGAAATCTAGGAGAATTACCTCACCATTACCCTATATTGCCTTATATGGTGCTCTACTTGCTAAAATGACCCTATAATGAAGACGCCAAGTGCTTTTTAACATGATTTTATTTGTTTGACATGTTCACCGTGCTCATGTTTAACCTCCTTATGATCTATGTGATCAAATAAAGTATTGTCTGAATTTTTTGAATTCATATTACTCCGCGTGGATCATTTAGTAACCTTCTTTTTTCAGGTAGGGGTGCTCTTGTCACACTACCATATTGTTTACACTGCAGGAGGGACATCGCGAGAGCGCAGGACAAGGTAAGTGATCGAGGGATCATGGAGCATGGTATTCCCGAGTGTACCTCGGGGTTAACGCTTGTGGTACTGAAACTTTTACCCCGAGCTACACTCGGGAATATTGCTAGGGTTTTTTAAACATTAACCTGAAAGTTATTGACCAAGAGATGGCAAATAACAAATCTCTATCTATAGTACACCTTGGTTCTGCCTCTATTTTATTTTATGCACTGTTCAACAATCTGTCCAGCCCAATGTGGTAATAGAAACAAGGCGCTATCAAGTCCTACAGAAAACCCAGCTCAACTGGACTAAGTTAATAAGCAGCATTTATTGTACATAACATAGGGCCTTAAAGTATAGCTAAACCAAAAGCATAAAACACTAATATATTTAAAGTATAACTAAAGGAAAAACTTTTTCTTTTAGTTTTGGATAGAGTGGAGAGGAATTAGAACACCTGTTCGATTTTTTTAATACTATCTGTGGCTCTGTGCCACCTCCAGGGAGATTCACCCTCTCTATTTTTCCTGTTTACCATATCAGTGAAATATATCCCCACAATCGTAATAGAGGGGAAATTTTCCTATGGGGACACTGGCTCTGGTGACCTGCGGGCCCCAAAGTTTTCCCCTAATTTTTAGGTATTTCCTCTCACTTTCTGTTTTGGCTATGGGACAGGAAGTGAAGTTTAATCTCCCCAATGGGACACAGATAACAAAAAAAAAAAAAGTACGGGGTTATAGACCTTCCCTGCTCTATCCAAAAAAAAAAAAAAAAAGTTTTGAGTTAAATTCTACTTTAAGAAAGAGGAGTCACATGGCCATTCAGGGAAGGGAGTGTGTTATTCTCATGATTACCTGAAAAAAACAAAACAAATTTAGTTGCCACATCTAATAACTTGTAATCTGTGATATATTAATTGCTTGTTTTTGTGCATAAAGGTAAAAAAAAGATTTTTTTTTTTGCTTTAGTATTAGTTTTAAAAACACTTTTAAGTGTGATTATTATTATTACTGACTGTCACAGTTTTTGGTGTATACATAAATCATTTTTTTTTTGGAAGCAGCATTAATTTAAAGATATGTGTGCACAGTGGTGTATTTAGGTTTTGTGCTTCCCTAAGCAACACAAAAATCGGACCCCCCCCGACTGACATTGACCAACAACACACCTGCCCCCCCCCCCCCAACCCGGAGAGGAAGCCACTCACCTTTACAGCTTCAGACATCCCTGGGAACGAGAGTCGAGCTCTGCATACACCATCAAGTAGTTTGCAGCCTCTTTCGGCTCCCACTTGGTCCCTATGCCGCAAGTGTCCCTTCTTCCAGGGGCCAGTGCTGCCCCCTGAAAAATGCCACCCTAGACAACTGCCTTGTTTGCCTTGTGGTAAATATACCTCTGTGTGTGCAAGTGAGTAAAAAACTACCTTTCCTATGACACGGAAATGGATAACACTTTTATATGCAGAATTTTTCCTTTCGTGAGACTGAAGATATAAGCTATTACTCTTTGTGTGCCTTTTCTCTCTAGTGCTTTTCTAAAAAGCGTGTACCAGGGGCGGACTGACCATTTGGAAACTTGGGCACTGCCCGAGGGCCCGGGGTCAGTAGGGGGCCCCATGAGAGGCCACTGGTACCTTTTTCATAGGCTTTTTTGAGTTTGGGCAAGGACACAGGGGCCCCATGATCCCCTATTGCCCGAGGGCCCCATGAGTTGTCAGTCCGCCCCTGGTGTGTACTGTATTAACCAGCCACCACACTGATCCAGCTATAATGTATGCTGGATAAACTAGTGGCCATTCAAACACGTGCTAATAAATAGAAAGTATTTTACTCGCTGTATTTGCCACCAACCTTTATATCAGAACCGGTATTATTTGGCAATGTCTATATTTTACACAAAATAGCAGGCGCGCTGCCTCAATGTATGTTATATGACATGAAAAGCATGTTTAAATAATTAACAATAAGTTGTGAAATAAAGTCCTAAATGTGAAATCAAATGAACAAAAATCCCTTTCACATCCAGAAGGTGATAAGTGGTCTGTGCTCCCCTCCTGTGTGCCCCCTCATTCGACAACTTTAATGGACTCTTATGGTGTGAAATAAGAGTCTTTCAAGCTTTTGGTGGGGCATAGGAAGTCATGCTGGAGCTTGCAGTCCTCCTGATTAAATGTTGCTTGTCATTCCCAGTTATTCAAATGTAGAGCCAATAGATATATACACATGTAAGGAATGGAGAGAGGCATCCAAAATAGTGTAATTCCGTTTATTAGTAAAAGCAGACACACTGGTATTGCACTCACATGTTTCCAGATACAATAGGCATGAATCTCCAAGTGTACAATAGTAGGTACACTAGTATTCCACAAAGCTCCTAAGCTTTAGTATCACCATGTCCGTTGCGGATGCATTTCGCCCCTCCCACTGTGCATGCCTCTGAGGACACCCAGTGGGAAGAGCGAAATGCATCAACCATTGGGAATGACAAGCAACATTTAACTTATTGTTATGTGTTTATTTTTTAAGCATGCTTTTCATGTCATGTAACATACATTGAGGCACAGCTCCTGCTATTTTGTGTATTATGTTGATACGGTTGTACCTTTTATAGAAACAGCAGCCCAGTTTTTGTTTAATATTGAATGTGCACTATTGATTGGTGTGTCCTAAGCACAGGTGAACATCATCTATCAATGTCTACAGTATATTTTAGACATTTGTTTTTTTTATATCATATATTTCATGAATGTAAAAAAAAAATAACTATGGAGCAAAAACCAGTAAGGACACCTTTATTTCCATAATATGATTTCATACTAGTGTGTCCATACATTGCTAAATAATTTTTTACGGACAGTGAAAAGTGCATTTCTGCTTGTATGCTATTATATCACATAGATTGTATTCTGCCAAGGACTTCTTTCCTCAATCATTTCATGAATAAGTGTCCATTAAGAGACGAGATAAAAAAATAACATGGTAGGAAAACAGTATACAATTTCATGCTAGGACTGTATATTTGTAGGTTTCTGAAAGTAAACCAACTCTTACTAAAATGGTGCTCCTGCTTTGTATATCAAGTTATCCAATCTTTAGTCTTTAAAATATGCTTAGCATTTCTACTGTGGTGGGACCCTTAAAATGATTTTCAGTAAGTTGAATATATAATAATAAAATATAACCACAGAATGTAACAAGAAAAAGAAAAGAATACCCCACAAAAATCGCCCAAAGTCTGCAGTATACAACCAGATACATAATTAAACAACTGAGAGGGAGAGGTACAAACTGCTTATAGTGATATTAAAGGCTAAGGGTTTTTTTTTTAAAATAAGCATGTCATACTTACCTGCTCTATATAATGATTTTGAACAGAGCAGCCCCAATCCTCCTCTTCTCGGGTCCCCCGATGGTGCTCCTGGCTCTTCCCCCTGCTAAATGCATCTAGAGCAAGCCACTTGCTCTGGGGGCACTTGTGCATACTCACTCCCAAGCCCCGCTTTCTGTGTTTATAAGCTCAGTTACACCCCACTTGCTCCTCACTGACTGTGATTGACAGCAGTGGGATCCAATGGTCCCCACTGCTGTGTCTCAGCCAATGAGGGAGACCTGGCAGAGCCGAGGATCTTGTGCACAGCGCTGGATTGAGATCGCGCTCAGTATTGGGGGGTGCTGAAGGGGGAACTGCACCCTGACAGGTTTTTTTTACCTTCATGCATTCTATTTTAGAAAAAAATCTTCAAAACCCTTCCTGCCCAGGTCAATTTCCAGCTTTGAGCACTGTCACACTTTGAATGACAATTGCGCGGTCATGCAAAACTGTACCCATATGAAATTTGTATCACTTTTTTGTGACAGATAGAGCTTTCTTTTGGTGGTATTTAATCATCTCTGTGATTTTTATTTTTTCTTAAACAAACCAAAAACCACTGCAAATTTTGAAAAAAAAAATTTTTTCTTAGTTTTTGTTATACAATTTTGTAAATAAGTGATTTTTCTCCTTCACTGATGTGCGCTAATGAGGCTGCAGTGATGGGCACTGATAGGCCGCACTGATGGACACTGATAGGTGGCACTGATGGGCACTGATGAGGAGGCACTGGTAGGTTGCACTGATGGGCATTGATAGGCATCACTGATGGGCACTGAAAGGCAGCACTGATACATGACACTGATATATGGCACTGATAGCGGCACTGTTAGGTGGCATTGACTGGCACTGTTAGGTGGCACTGATTGGCAGCACTGATTGGCACTGATATGTGGCACTGATGGGCACTGGCACCTGGCACTGATGAGCACTGACTGCTGGCACTGATGGACACTGACAGGTGGCACTTCTGGGGCCACACTGATCATCAGGGCACACTGATCATCAGTGCCCTGATGATCAGTGTACATGTCCCCTCCGCGGAAAGCCGATTACCGGCTCTCCTCTCGAGCTGTCAGCGTGACAGCTCGAGAGGAGAGAAATGCCGATAAGAGGCATTTCCGCGTTTACATGTGATCAGCTGTGATTGGACACAGCTGATCACATGACCGAGCCGACATCTTTGGCTCTTTCCGTGACACGCTGTGTCTGACGGACACAGCGCACCGGCGATCACCGTGCTGTGGGCTCCCTGAGCTGCGCATGCGCGGTGAGAATGGAAGGACGTCATTTGTCGTCCTATCAGAACGAGAGAACCACCTTGTGCTTGTCATTGTACTATATGGCGGGCGGAAGGTGGTTAAAGACTATAATGGACTAGCATTTTAATACAAAATAACAAATAAAAAAGAATGAGAAAATATTAGGATAGTGTAGATTTAGGTGTCAGTTTATTACAGCAAATATTACAAATATAACTAGGGTATACATGCATCCCATAAAATATGGACATCACTGGGATTTCTGTGACGTTTTTGACCAAATATAGTCATGGAAAACCATAACAGTGTGGCGCTATCTACTAAATAATTTTTTTTAAACAAAAAATAGTGCATGAAACATTAGGTGCGAATAAATAGGAACAAACATTCACCTGTGTAAGAGCACAGTAAGTTAAAGAGCAAATGCCTGTGCCATGGATAGAACTTTCCTTCCGAACTCCTGTCACAGATGGAACCATTATTACATGCAAGAAGATGGCAAAAGAATTAAAGTGTTCCCAATAGTGTAAGATTGTTTAAAAAGTACTTTGTACAGAATGGCAAAACACTTATTATTTTTTCACTTGTATACAGTGCTGTTTCATGTCAGAAATTCATGTGAGTGTTGTTACCACTTTATCTGTAAATGTCGGTTTTCTGCAGTAGGCTGTATATGTCATGGAGATGTGCCAATTCGCAGGCAGGATAATTGCATCCCACAGGCATGTTATTTAAAGGAATTTGGCATTTTTATTTTCTCAATTAAAGCAGTACTAAAATAGCTGCTCCTCACCTGATAGAAATTTTAAAACATTTTAGGGTTTTTTTTGCTTTGGTACAGGTCCCCAGGCTAGTGTCCAGGCCCCTGTGCTATCTGTTTTACAATTCCTTGTCTATAAGCTTGAACATGGCCATTACTGTCTTGGGGTTTGGTTTCAGCATCCAAACATTAGTATTGTCCACAGAACCTGCTGCGAACTGAACTCAGGTGAGTTTGGTTCATCCCTAGTGCCCTTCAGAACCATTTAATGCATCTATAAATATATCTCATGCTGAATATTGAAAAAAAAAAATTCAAAACACCTTACTGATACTGACTGATTATTAAACACAGGCCTAGAACACCTACCAATAAGTATAAAGAAGTCACTGTTTCATCATTTTGTGGTAATAGGTATCTAGGTAGTCAAGAATGTTGTATGCACCTAGACTAATTCCTCCACACCTAGGAACCCATCAGATTAGTCCACCGTAGGTTATCATTTTTATAAGACAATCACCTTCTAGAGTAATCTGTGATGTCATAAGAAGCTCAAAAAGTTATATGAGAATTCATATTAGTTATTTGCCCAGATCTGGCTGATATCTATACTGAAGATTAACATATAAGTTCAGTTGTAAATATACATACCATTATCATTGGCTCTGTTTGCTTGTTATGTTAAGGTGCAAATACATACAGTAGGTCCATCCTTGTTTGATAAATTCCCATAAGCCAGAAAGTCTTCTAACTGTATCATAAATATGATCTAAAATCTCATCAGAGAGCACAGTAAGAAGTTATCTACAGGAGTTGGGCCACATAATGTAGTTACAGCCACCAGATTTGTATCTTAGTGTGTGGATTATTGTGCTCCTTATCACCCAACGTATCATCCAAGGTACTCCCAATTTAGGGTGCATTTAAATCCTCTCAATGAATAGTATACTAAGTTCCTGATGCAGTGTTAATGCAGTTGTATATAGCTGATTTAGAGGACATAACTTAATATGAACTAATACATCTCTTCAAAGTGCACAGTAGGAATCTGTAATTATGTTTATAGGGTTACTTGTGAGCCACTGAGGTGATTTACTACTTTTACTTTTTGATGTTCGCAGGCACCTATTCACATCCTCATAGGTATGTGTGTTATGATAATGTAAGTTGATAAATAGTGCTGCGCCCTTAAGATAAGATATTTCTGTATAGGCTATATTAGATTATTATTAGTAGTGACTGGAATAAATGCTTAATTCTTATAGTAACAGTTAACCAGTGTTATTAAACACTGACTTAATTATATCATAAATTATTCACATATAAAATATTAAATTTAGGAAATCCTTACAAAGTACAGCAAAAAGATTTTTTTTGGATATGTATGTGAAAATGTTTTGAAATGAAAAAAAAATATATATAAAATAAATACAAAAAATAAAAATTAGAATATAATCAAAAAATTTATATATATATATATATATATATAATATATATATATATATATATACATACATTTTTTGATTATATTCTATTTTTTATTTTGTATTTTTTATTATACATATATTTTTTATATATAGTATATGAGAATGAAAAAAAACAAAAATAAAAAAATATACAAAAATGAATGAAATAGTGTCAAAAGTATATGAATAATACCAAAGTATTATATTCCTGTCCAAAATAGTAATTGCTGTATAACAGAGACTGTAGTGAAATCCTTGCTTGAGTATTGACACTTTTATGCGCTCACCTTCTTGTTAGCCTATTGCTAGGCTAACACAACTTTTGAGAGGTTATTGTTGGTGGGATGCTTTGGAACTCCCCTGGGTTTTTTCTGGATTGGTCACTTCTAATGTGCTTGTATGGAAATGATGATCTCTGCTTCCTTATGCTGCTGGATATGGCTCCATCTCCCTATTTTTCTCCTAGTATAGTGGAAGAAAGAAGAGATATATGGTGCCTTATCGTTTTAATAAAAGGTTTATTTAATGCACTCTATATGCACTCACATGTTAATAATTAAAATGCGCTTTGTTGTGTATAAAACCGCTCAATGCGGATGTGACAGGCTTCCTCCATGTGTCTGCACACACTGTCTATACTCGCCGTTACTGAAGTCGGGTTGCCGTGGTGACGTCAAACCCCCTCCCCAACGCATTGCGCCACAGGGTCACGTGGCTTCATCTGGGGAGTCCGTAATCAACAAAAGGATTCCAAAAGGAGTTGTGTTACATCTAATAGTTACATGCAGCTGGTTTTGATCTATTGTGTGAATTGGTGTTCTCCAAGACATTTCAAAAGTGCTTGCAGTTTGGGGTCAATTTATATCCTCTCAATAAACAATGTACTGTGTTCTAATAATGTGGATAACTGGCTATGAGGTAGTCTCATTGAGGCTCTGCATAGCCAACAAGTATCAAAATAGTGAGTGCTATCAGTTTACGGCTGCTTCAGAAGACTCATCCAGTGTAATGCAAGCTAATACATCTCATCAGAATACAAAATATAAACCCATCATTAACAAGCAAATCAACAAGAAGTTAAATCATATATTGCAGTTATATTCAACAGGCTTTTACCCTAATCTAAGGATTTATGTTCTTCATGTCATTTCATAGGTACTCCTAGTTTGGAATCCATTTGATCCTCCCTATAACAATGCAAAAACTTCTGATCATGTGGGTACTACCATGATACAATGTTATTATAGTTGTTTATAGCCAGCAAGAATCACATCCCAATATGAGGACACATATGAGCTAATCTATCTCATTGCAATAAAGATCCGTTGTCAGTAGGGAGTTACCTGTAAATCACATATTAAAGTTACCAACAACAGGTTTTTATCCCAATGTATCAATGTGTGCCCTCAGTGTAATTTCATATATACTTGTAATTGATGGTTCAATCATTATTATTAGTATTTGAACAAAAATAGAAATAGTATGTATGTTAGAAAGATGTCTCATGAAAAAAAAAAAAAAACAACAAGAAAAAAAAAGAGTGGGACCCCCTCTAAAATCCATACTAGACCTTTATCTGAGAATTTTAAACTCATCCAGTGAAGGGAATGTTAAGCTGCTGTTTTTTGGGCACTCTGTTCCCCTAACCATGTGCCAACAACCAGAAGCATCCCTAGGGTTGGTGTCACCCAGTGCGGTAACACTTGGTTACACCCCCTCTGACGATCCCCGCAGAATGGATCGCATCTGCGGATTGAGCATAATGGATCGGACTCCGATCCATTATGCTCAATCCACAGATCCGATCCATCCTGTGGGGATCGTCGGCTTTCTTTACACCTTACCTTTTCTTGGAGGTACCTTTTCAACTGCGCATGTCCCGGTTTCAGGCACGATCAGTCGATGATAGCAGTAGTTCTATCATCGATTGATCATGCGCAGATGCTTCAGAGGGACATATCTACATGGGAGACACATCTTGCCAATACACCGGTGTCACCCCTCAGGATCGTCTGCATGCAACCTATACAGGGTGACACCGGATCCGCTCCAAGAAAAGGTAAGTTGTAAAGAAAACCGACGATCCCCGCAGGATGCATCTGATCCATGCTGCGGGGATCGTCAATTTTCTTTACAATTTACCTTTTTGTGGAGCTGGTCTGGTGTCACGCCGTGCGGACCACACCCCCTGCACCTGCCTCGGGATGCCACTGCCAATAACTAAATAACTGAGTCCATAAAAAAGCAAAAAGAAGAGTGACAGATCTGTCTGTCGCCATTGGTGGGTGAGTTTTTTTGCCAGGGTTTGGCAACAGGGAAAATTACTAGTAGGAAGGCTGGGAAGGGGTCATTGCTACACAGTTTCCCTTATACAGTCAGTTGCTGTGCAGTCAGCAACACACAAAGCCAGTCCCCGTACCCGTGAAATTGTCATAGTGTCAACCCCGTTATCCCCATTCCTCTCAGCACTCACCTCATTGAGATCATTAGGATAAGCAATTTATTACCTTTCCTCTGCTGGTTATAGGTATACTTTATATATTTATCCATGAATAACATAATTTATACATTAGAATAATGGTTAATATAGTACAAATATATTTCTAATATACTGTATATACATTTAAGAGCAAGAATGGATTATTGTAAGAAATAAATTGAGGTACTTTTGAGGTGGCTCAGATCCCATCTTAAGCACCTAATAAATAACAGGGCAGATACAGTGCATAAACCGAATGACTCAGTATACAGTACAATGTTTATCCTAGGCTTTGTAAGAGAGACACTGTCAGGTAT